TCAGTGATCCCATAAACACACACACACACACTTAGTGATCACACACACACACACACACACACACACACTCTCGGTGATCCCATAAACACACACACACCTCTAACCCCCTAGATTCGTGTAGTATTTCTGCTACAGGCCAGACGCTCTAGATCCCATAGCTCCCAAACCAGTCACACTGCAGAAACAAGAAAGGGTAACAACTGCTCACAGTTACCTGACATTTATTTGCTAACGTTTTACGTTCTTTACCTCACCTTCTTCTCCCAACAAACCTATGGAATCGGTAGTGTTACTCTTAGCAGATGGGCAGAGAAACCAAAGTTGAGACAAGACCCAAGTCTGAATTCTGACGTCCCCCCTCAAGCTGTGTAGTGCGAAGCAAATGAACCACAGGGACGCATAGACCCCCACCCTACACCCCACTCTGCTGCCCCCTACCTCAGACTCACCAGGCCTGGGAAGGACTTGGGGTCAGACGCGGCAGAGTCCGAGAGCTGCAGCCCTTTCACGTGTTCACTAATGTCCGAATCCTGGGGAAAAGACCCCCCGAGAAGTTGCCCAGGGCACAGCACGGAGAGGGATGACCACCCAGGGAATTCCGCTCAGGCCATTGGTGCCAACACAGGGTGAAGCTCTCACCAAAATCCACCTCTTCCAGAAAACCTGAAAGAGGGCTGTGGACCCTCCCCTTCCTTCTGGACACGGGCACCAGCCCCACCTCACTGGGGATGAACAGCCCAGTTGACCCCACACTGTGACTCAGGTCAACAAGGATTTACGCATGTAAGGAGAGCCCGGAGAAGTGGCATGGAGACAGTTAGAAGTTGGCAGTAGGGAAGGTTCATGCTGTCCTAAAAAACAGAATGAGAGTATCTTTCCCAGGAAGCAGCTTAAAGCTCCTTAAATGAACTCCCGCACCATCTACCTGGGAAAGGAGCAGGACTACGGGATGGAAAACTGAAAATGCCAAAGGCACTGGGAAGTACTTGTGGGCATCTGGGTCATTGGCCCAGTCTTGCCAAAGCAAGACTCCCACGCCATCAGTGAGAGGAGTCTTCTGGTAACCTAACTGACCGCTGCTGGGGCCAAGTACTCCCCATGGTCCCACCCCCTCCGTGTCCTCCCCTCTCTACAGAAACTCTACAGAAACAGACTACAGCAAGCAACCAAGCAACCGCTGCTGTCAAGAAGTAAGAGGGGGCAGGCAGGAAGAGAAAGGTACTACAGAAGAACAGGAATGTCCCAGGAGGGTGCCAATGGAAAGGCAAATTTCTATCCTGAATTTCTAAGGCCAGCAGGTTTGGAGTTTCATTCAGGCTCTGGCTGCCTGCTGGGTCTGGGCAGATCTGTCACCAAGAAGGGTTCTGGCCAGCTGCTGGTGACAGCCCACTGCAGGGCCTGCAAACGAAGCTAAGCTCCAGACTCCTCCTCCAAGTAGGTAATGAAGATGTTGGGGACCCCGATCTGCACGGGGCTTAAGAGAGCAGCAGAGGGAGGGAGCGGCAACTCCCCAGGGCACAGGGGGACTCACCTGGCTCCGGTCTGATCTGCTCTCTTTGGGGACCGAAGTCCGCTCCTTGGGCTCCTTCTCCTCCACCACCTGGGCCTCTCCCCGCCTGGAACCCTCTTCTCCTGCATCCAATGAGTCTTCTGTTGCCTCCTTTTCGGTGGCTTGGGCAGGCTGACCACCCCCAGGGTCCACCTCAATCCTGGACATCCCAGGATCACTCTTCTCATCCGTTTCTTTTGCCGGGAGCCGAGCACTCGCCCCTCTTCCCTGCTGCTCTCTGCCATCAGCGCTGCTCAGACTGCCGTCTGCTCCCTGGCTGACGAGCTTGCCAGGAGTGGGGGGCCCAGAAGCATCAGAATACAGAGAAGCGTCCTTCCTCTCCTCTGGCTGGCTTGTTCTCGGAGACTCCTAGGCAGCAGCAGACCATGTCAGACAAGGAGGCGTCAAGAATTAATAAAATGACTTCAGAGACTTGCAACAAGATGGAACTGTCATTCCTCGACTCGAACGGGTCAGTGCTCCAGTTCTGACCCCAGTGGTTATCCAACACCCCAACAGCTATTTAAAACCCCGACTCCTTGTTCCACTCCAGATCTGAGGAATCTAAACATCCGTGGTGATTTACAGACACCCATCTGGCCTCGTCCAGGGACAGGCGTGGAAACCAGCGCACTGAACTCCATCACCGCCTACCAGGTTCTCAAGGAAGAAATGTCTCATTCCAGCCCCAATAGCCAAACCACAGGACTGCAGACTCAGAAGTCAGTATTTACTTTTTAGAAAGTCAGTATGTACTTACAATGATGATAGAAAAATCACATAAAAGTATCAATGCCTAAAATTTGTTTTTTTCCCTTTTAAAAGGCAGCAGGGAAAACAGAAGGAGAATGCCCTTCATCAGTGTGACGAAGGTGGCTCTCCCCCAAAAGCCTCCTCCGCACACGCCACCCTATCTGCTTCTGAGAAGCAGAAGCCAAGACAAGATTTCCTGGGGGAAATGGCTCTGAAGGATAAAGGGGTTGGGAGGCCTTCAGAACGCAGGTCTGACCTGGGGTGCGGGAGCGGGGAGGGGGCAGCTGAAACCCACAGCGCCTTGGGCCTCCGCCCGGTTCTGAGAAAGTCTTGGCCTGCACCGCAGAGTCCCACGTCTGCCAGGGACGGTCCTGCTCTAGGGCCTGGTGTTCTCTGTGGACAAGCACGGCCTTGGCATGAGCCCAGCCAGATCAGAGGTGCCGTAGCTTGAGGCTGACCTCACGGAGGTCCCCCTCAGCACGGTCTCTCACTTAGAGCCCCTGTCCAGCTGCCGTACCCTGCCTCTCACCACAAACCTCACTCTGAAATGAGTGAAAGTTCAGGAAGAACCCTGAAAGCCGGCCAAAGTAACAAAAGAAACCCCTTCCTCGAAATACGGCGAGTGCTCTCCCGGGGTCCGAGAAGCCTTCCTCCAAGAACACATCGCTTGGGATGCTGGTGTGAACAACTTCTGAGCAGGGACACGTGACGCTTCCAGATTCCTCAGCCTGGGGACTCACAGAAGGAGCCTGGTGACTGGAGTCCAGAGGTCCCCGCAGAAGCCTGGAACACGGCATTCCTCCATGCTGCCTGTTAAAAGATCTACTGACACGCCCACCCGCCTACTGACCAGCCTCCCAGAACCTTCCAAGGGCGGTCAGGAAAGGGAGGGGAGTTCAGCAGTTCAGAGATGAGCTTCAGAGACACTGAGACACATGACTTAGGTTCAAATCCTCACCCGACCCTTACAGGGACCTGAGGCCCATTATTTAACTTCTCTATGCCTCAGTGTCTTTCTCTAAAATATGGGGACACAGGAGGACATACCTCACTGGATCTGAGGGAAGATTCAGTGAGTTAACACTCACCAAGTGAGCTAAAGAACCAAGCCCATGCCGGACAGACCCTGAGCGTCCCACACATGTTCCACTAATGTTTTCCTGTGAGACACACATGGTCACTCCCCAGGTGCCTTCTGTGTGCCAAGCACTGCTCTGGGGACACCTACATGAACAAGACATAGATCTTGCTCCCAGTACGGAGGAGCGTGACATGCCCCAGGTCATGAGCCTTTGCTGCCCAAAGCAAAGGGCACTGGACACAGTGCTGATACTGTCCTCGGCCCCAGGCCTGTCCCAGGGAGAAAAGCAGAAGGTGAAAGAGAGAAGGGGAGGCTTCCCTCATGCCCTGGCAGCTCGAAGGCAGGGTACCCTCCAGTACTGCCCATCCTCGCCACATCCGTAGCCTGGGGCTTCACAAGCAATCCGCTGTGATCCCAGAGAAAGGGGGGAGGTGAGCCCCTCCTCCTCAGGAGCAAGGGGAGGCCAGGCCTGCTCATCGCAAGCCCCAAGACAGTGGCCACTGCGCGGCTGGAGGGCAGCCCCCAGCCCGAGGGGCTCCACAGACCTCCAAGGGGTGGGAGTTTGTCAGGGTGACTGAGGGGTGTCTGGCAGAGCCAAACCACCCTGGCCACGCTCATCTCATGATGACATGAGCACAGGGGAGGGTCAGATGCCGCAGCACCCACGGCGTTCAAGCTAAAGTCCACAGCACCTCACATGGCCCAGAGCCTTTCTCGCCCAGCCCTGCCTGCTTCTCAAGGGTCACAGGCAGCCACACCCTGCACGCATTCCCCTGCCCCGGCCGATGGATGAACCTTGTGCCATCGCGCTACCTGGCCATGCATGTTCTTTTATTTTTTTTTTCCTTGAGGTTGGTTATTTCACTTTATTTAGCCAACAGTCACACTCTGAGCCCCACCAAATTAGTCCTCCAGCCTCACTCGAGGGTCTGCCTCCAGAAGCAGCTCAGAGGGCGACCAGGAGGGCCCGGATTCCCCAGTCAGCCTCCTCTTCCACCAACACACACCACACAGCACAGCACAAAATCACCGCCTACATCCCCAGGCACCCTCCCCAGGGGGGTAGGGGGCCCCCAGTGCCCAAGAGCCACCTGCCAGGGCCCAGCTCCAGGCACAGACTCCCCCTTGCTCCTGAGATGCCATGCACATTCTTAACACACACACACACACACACACACACACACACACACACACACACACGATCTACCTAGACAAACTCCCACTGGCCACAGTACCACATCTTCCAGGAAGGCCTCCTTGATCCCCGGGAGAGCCGTCCTGAGATGAGCCTTCGTGGCCAGTCACCCCAGCTACTCTAACATCCCTGCTAACTTCCTCTCTGCATCCCTCACCAGATCAGCTCCCGGCCACCCTCAGCGCCTAGTTTCTGGCACATACTAAGTGCTCAGCAAATATCTGTTGGCTGAGCTTTTTAAAATGAATGTCTCGTGCAGATAAAGGAGCTCCCACTCTGTGAAATGGAGATGAACTGTTCATTTCACAAGGTTACAAAGGGGTCAGCCTCTACCTGTCACAGTGCTTATGAAATGGAAAACGCTGAGCAAATGTTAACTGTGAATATTCAAGATGAGGGAAAAGCATGTAACCTTTCAAAAACCAGAGGACATCAGGTGCAGGAAGAGACTCCCACTCTTGGGCATGAGAGAAAGCGGTCAGGCGAAGAATGGTAAGCCGATCTGTGCCATTCTCAAGCTTAAAGTCTTCAAAAGAAGATTTTCCCATAATGGACTTTATTCTGTTCTGTCTACCTAAATGTTAAGATATGAAAACGTGGCTACTATGTAAAGGAGTTTGTGTTCTCTGAGCCCGTGTCAACTAAGTGCAACAAGTCGGCAGCTGGAGGTAGGTCCGGTGGGTCTGGGTGGCAGAGGGAGACCAGAGGTCGTTGAAGATGAGCCGCGATGCCAACGCACAACTGAGGGTACCGGGGAAAATACATCCGACTCCAGACCCCTCTCCCCCGACTCGGCTCAGCGCAAGCCAGGCCTGCCCAGGATGCACACTCCAGGCCCCGGTGTGCCGGCTCCAGCTTCGGTGTTGGGGGGAAACGGGGGGGAGGGGGACGCAGGGCAGGGCTGCCCCCGCGGCACCCTTTGATCCCCAGCTCATCCGTGCTCAGACTCCTTCTGTCTCCTCCTGTCACAGCCGCAGGCCCCTGAGCATCTCTAGGCAAGTATCGCCGCCTTTTTAAAAACAACCTTGTCATCTGCATGAGGAAGGCGGTGCCTGTGAGTCCCCGTAAGAGCATCGCATGAATATTTAACATACCCCCAAAAGCTATAAGATCTCCAACACTGCAGTGCCCTCCTTCCCAGAGCACAAAGGCAGGCTTGGTGGGGGAAGAGAGTGGAGGACGGGAGAGTGGAACCCCCAAGCTAACCATCAGTCAGGTTCTTTGCCAAGTCTCCTTCCCACCCAGTTGGTCTCAATTCTTTGCACTTCCACCCCCTACCCCATGTTGTTAGCGCTTCCCGATCACACGGACATCATCCTGTGATTTCTAAGCCTAGCTCCCTCCTTCTCCTTTGATCCCAGGATGGGTTCTCCACAGGACAGACAGGACAGCGCCACCAGGCCACACGCTGCCTGCTCACCCACACGCTCCCTCCCCTCCTCACTCACACCCATTCTCAGTGTCCGGGTCCTTGAACCTATCCCCTTTGGTTCTGTAATCATCAAGAAATGGGTTTACACTGAAGGCAGGAGAGAGGAGGGGAGCGGGAAGGGAGGAGGGAAAGAGAGAGAGAGAGAGGCATTCTTGCCATCCTACTGCCCTCTCATGGAATCATGAGCAAAGTGACAGTGAATAGCACAGGGACAGGGCAGAACCCACTAGGGCAGGAGCCCTCATCTAGAACTGCCCAGGATGCCCAGGAGCAGGAAGAAACGGGCCACTCAGAGGACCCAAGCTCTATAAACATGGACAAAAGCTATTTGCAAAGGGTGCGGTCCAAGCAGAGGCAGCTTTGTCTATCCTGAAAGCCCCATTCATTCCTACACCAGGAAAAGCCCTCCGGGTTCCTACCTGGGGTTCAAACACAGGAACCCAACACTCCCTGTGGCAAAAAGAATGAGATCCGCTGGGATCCTAGAGACAGGGGTCAGAGGTGTATTTAACACCTTCGACTTCAGACATTTCTCCCATCACACTGGGTTGTCTATTTATACTAAAAAGGTCATAAAAAAAAATATGTTTAAAAGCTCCCACTCCCCCAAAGAAACACAGAGTCATCAGAAGGGAAGCTTTTGGAAATCCAGGACATGTCAAAGAAGATCCCCTTTTTGCTGACATTTGTAATCCATTATGAAGTAAAAATTAACAAGTTCAAATTCAAAGTGCATCCTGTTTGATCCACAGTGGGATCTTCAACTGGCCGGCTGACAGCAGGGACCAAGCATCCATTCTACCCAGGGTCTGGAAGAGCAGAGGGAAAGAAACAGCACAACACAACCTGTGGGGATTCCCTCCTTGTCCCAGAGGGGCTCACTCTCCTTCATTCTCCCAGCCGCTTAGCAAAACATACCTACATCCTTCCTATGCTCCAGGCACAGGCCAGTGTTGGCCATATACACATAAATCTCTACTCCCAATCTGCTCAGTCTCCTGGGGAGACTTTCTCCTCTCTCCGAGAGCCACTTAAGCCCTCTTGACGCCCCATTCCCGCTCATGGTCATCCTTCTCAGCTACAGACCTGAGCTGCTGATTGCTGATTACATCGGCAGGATAAGGTCTTAATGGTCGATGGGAAGAAACAAAGTTGTCGTTTCAGGGAACCAAACACACGGAAGGCTTTTGATATAATGCAAAGAGACCAGGCCCCGCACACAAGGAAGTTTCAAAGTGGACACAAACCGGGTTGATGATAAAGATGGGACACTGGGGAACACAACATCACATTTCACGCGAAGTGTTAAAGTCACAAGCAAAAGGTATCTAATTGGGCACCGCCCAAAACGTGGACAATTTCTGGGCTAAAGATGGGAACATGCTTCCAGGAAGAAGCAGTACAATAAAATGGAGACTACCCAGTGCCTAGAGCTGGACCATCCAAGAAGGCCCAGCTACAACCCCAGTCCTGTGCGCCAGCACCCGCGACCCCCGCCCGCTGAGATGGGAGCCCTGGCTGTTGACGTGAGCTGAAAACCAAGAAGTCAGAAACAGTAAGAGCACGGTAAGGGATAATAAGAACACAGTTAAGAGATAATAAGGAAACAAACTTAAAACCACAATTTAGGCACTATTGTTTTCCTGGCCAGCTTTGGGATCATTCTAATGAAAGGTGAGTGACTGGTTTCATTTCAAAGTGCTGCAAGTGTGTGAAAGAATTTTATGTATTAGACTTACGAAAAATTTAATTCAGCTTCCAATCAATATTTAAAAGTTTGGGGAAATCTGAGTTCCTGACATCATGATTTACTACTGGGTGTATGAACACCACAGGAATACTGAGAGAAATCCTAACTGCTAAGAACTAGTAAATCGGACATTAGAGAAACGGCATACGATAGGGAATGTTCCTTTTCAAGCAGAAAACCACACTGGGGGTTTGCAGATTATTACAACACCATGATGAGTCTTGGTTTGGTTTGTTTTCAAGAACATTCCGGTGGCAATGGGAGGACAGACCGGAGGACGGAGATTAGAAGTGACAGGAGTACTGTGGGAAGACTCTGGAAGCTATTCCCCACCGCAGTCCACACTTCCCAGGCCCCTCGCCTTTGCTCAAGCTGTTTGCTTGCCTAAAATAACCCTTACACCCCCATGTCTGGAACTTACCTACTCTTTAAGAGCAAGGTCAAATGTCATCTCTTCCAAGCTTTTCCTGATCTCCAGGCAAGTCATATCCTCCCCGCTCAGAGCTCCTCTAGGCCAGGTACCTGTGCCAGCCGGAGCTCTTTGCCCGCCCAAGCTGCCCTGCTAGATGGGCGTTTTACTCCACAGCGAGCACTCACTAAACGCCAAAGACCTGCTGTCCTTTCTCTCTCTCCAGCTGCAAACTCCATGAGGCCAGCCCAACCCATCTTTCCAACCTCTGTATCTCCACGGGGCCTAGCACAGCAGCCAACGTTCGACAACTGCTAAGACTCTGGCTGTCACACCTCTGTTCAAAGCCCACCCCTGGCCCCCGGTGCCTGCGTACCCCAAAGCAAACTCCTTTGCTGGCACTCAGGGCCTCCATGACGCAGCCCAAGCTACCTCCACAGACCACCTCCCACTCGTCTCCCACAGGCGCTCTGTCTGTGCTCCAGGCAAAGGAGACAGCCTCACCCTCCCCAATCTCACCCTGCACCCTCTGCCTCTGTCTGTGCAAGGCCCTGCATGTGGGCTTCTCTCTCCCCACTCACCCCTGCCCGCCCAGTCCTGCCCACTGTCCTTCCTGGCTCACCTCACATGGCAATTTCTCAACAGAGCCCTGCCTGGTCGATCCATGCAGCTTGGAGACCCCAGATTCTCCTTCCCATGATGCCCCGTCTCACCTCCCTCACAGTCTCACTGCCTTCTACCCTGTCTTCTGGAAAAAGAAGCCCCTCTTTCTGTGAGGCCGCAAACCCTTAGGGGGCAGTAATCCCACCTAACTTAGGCTTGCACGACTGACAGCCCCCAGCAAAGTGGCCCACATGACAACACTCAACCACTGGTGGTTATCCAGCAAACGAGCGGAAGGATGGAGTCCTATTCTTCTTTGTGCTTCCCCAAACCACAGAAAGCCCATCTAGACAGCACTGGAACAAAACAGTTCTCTTTCCAAATCCGCAACCCCCAAGCAGAAAAGCTTAGGAAGGAAGGAGGGACAGACCAGGCTGAATCATTTGCCTGCCGGGCCTCAGACTCTTACCTCATACTCAAAGTCACCCCCCAGCGCCCCAATGTCCAGGTGCAGGTTCTTAAAAAGCTCACTTGAACTGCGAACACTCTGAAAACAAACACGATTACAGGTGGTAAGTCAAGGAAACAGGTCAGCCGGGGGTGAGGGGGCCAAGAAGCACCTTGTTGGTTACGCTATCTGGGTCGGGCCCACAAATTTATAGATTGGGCAAGAAATGAAGCTGTGGGCTGGAAAATCATCTTACTTATTTTTAAAGGAGCATAGAGTTGGCCAAAAGGTGGAAATAGTCCAAGTGTCCGTCAACAGATGGATGGCTGGACAAAATGAGGTCTAGTCAGCCACACATGCTATTCACGATGACCCCTGAAAACAGGCTACCTAAAAGAAGGCAGACATAAAATGGCCAACATTGTAGGAGTCCACTTATATGAAATATCCAGAACAGGCAAATTCAAAGATAGAACACAGAACAGAAGAGACGAAAGGGGAGAGAAGGGGTTGGGGAAGTTACTATTTACTTAATGGGCACAGAGTTTCTGTTTGGAATTGTGAGCAAGTTCTGGAGACGGATAGTGGTAATGACCGTCTAACACTGTAAAGTAGTTAATGCCACTGAACTGCACGCTTCCAAGTGGTTACAATAGTAACTTGCGTGTGGTACGTAGTTGCCCACAATAAAATAAACTCCTTGTTCAACAGCACGCAGGGTTTCCAAGGCAGGAGGAGGGTTCGTCGTTACCTGGTTGTCGCTCTCCACCTCATCCTCTGCGTTGGTCTCCTCCCCTAAAGCCAAGAGGCTGAGAGCATTCTTGTCCTCATGGATGGAGCCCAAGAGACCCTTCGTATAAGCAGAAGTCTTGAGACCCTGTGAAGGCTCCAAAGTAGAGAAGGAAAGTCAAGGGGCACGTTAAGGACCTGCAGAATGCTCTTCCCACTCTCTTTGGAGGTCTCACACCACAAGTCTGCCATGCCCAGGAAATGATCCCAGGTCACACAGATCCCTTCCTGACTCCCAATGCCCCAGCTATAAGGACTGGGAAATCAGCGCTGCAGTCCCCTCCCACCACCCCCACCACCCCCTTCCCTGCCACGGGTCTACCCTCTGGAGCTCAGACTACACATCTAGCATCACACAAGCGTGATTTATTTTCCCAGCTTCCCAGTTTGCCCATGAACTCTGAGGACTCAGCCTATGCCTTCTTTCTTATCTAGGGGCCACCGTTCCTAGCAAGGCACACAGAGACCCCAGGGCCACTAGATAGACTGAATGTGAGAGAAACCATTTACCAGCGTGAGTTCTCCAAGCTGACCAGACTCTGCCGAGCTCCCCAAGCTCAGGTTTTGCGATCCACGAAGAGCGGAGGCGGGGGCATCCACAAGGCCTCTCAAGGGAGCCAGGCCCCCGGGAGGGACGTGGACTGGGGCTAATGAGGAGCCCAGGGCCTGGGCAACACAAAACATCTTGTTACAAATCCAAGAAACCACATGGCTCTCAGAGTGCCAGAGACAGATATAAAAATAAAACATCTAAATCCTCCCCGCTCAAATTTAAACCACCTCCGCTTGGAGGCTGCTAATGAAACACAACATCCAGAAATTACCATTGTGCCAACTGTGTGAGAAATCACAGGCTGGCTTGCTGATTCTCCTAACTCCGCTGCCGGCACACAGCGCACGGTTCCCTCACATCTGGCAGATGCCGCAGCGGGTTCTGCTCCCCTTTCAGAAGCCACATAGGAAGTGGCGGGGCGGGGGGAGGACAGAGACAAAAGCCTCATCTACCAGAATAAGAAGTCTCAATAGATGGAAGTTTAAAACTGATGAACCAAGAAAAAGCAGTCGAAGCATATTATTTACAAATGTGGAAGTACACAGCAGCAGAAGGCGGTTGCCTCTGGGGAGGGGTACGCACACCAGAGAACTGTATTTCGTTATACGCTTTCTGATACTATTCGACTTTGTTCGATATGGGCATGTATTCCTTTCATTAAAATACGTATCAACTATGAAACGAATACATGGGGGCACCTGGGTGGCTCAGTAGGTTAAGCGTCTGCCTTCGGCTCAGGTCATGATCCTGGGGTCCTGGGATCGAACCCCACGTTGGGGTTCCAGCTCAGTGGGGAATCTGTTTCTCCCTCTCCGTCAGCCCCTCTCCCCTGCTCATGCTCTCTCTCTCCCTCTTTGCTCTCGCAAATAAGTAAGTACAATCTTTTTTTTAAATACATGAATGACAAAAGAAGAACTCTCTTTCCCCTCTTCCACAGACAAGGAAGGTGGCTGAATGAAGCCTCGCTCAAAGGACTGACCGGTTTCCCTGTTCTCACATTGGCCAGATGAAGGCTTCCGGCTAGGGAGGATGGGAAAAGAAACCAGGCTGGGAGTCAGAATTTGCAAGACCTCAGCTCATTCACAGACTCTCGGATTCTCAGTTTACTCATCAACAAGACAGAGATGATAGGTGTCTTGCGACTTAAGAAGGTTTGCTGGGAAGCTGAAGAGAGACCATGAAGGTGGGGAGCACATGGGAGCAGTCCAGGGCTACGCCACCGTGGAATAGCCGCGAGAAGGACACACATTCCCATAGATCAGGCAGAGCAGCAGGGGCAAGGAGAGCATTCTGGGGATAATTCACAAAAAGCTCTTTAAAATTCATTGCTCAAACTTAAAGTGTATAAAACAACACAAAACCACTCCTGTCTATCCCAAGGGGACTGAAGAAAGGGGAACCCAGAGGAGGTCAGGCTGAAGACGCGCAGGCAGCCCACCATCTCCTCCCCAGCCCGGGCTGAAGGGCCCAGACCATCGGGCAGGTTCTGACCAGGGCCCCTTCCTGTGTGGGAAGAGCAACAGACGCTCATCTGCAAGCGGGATGAGAACCACTCCCAAGACTTTAAACGCCCAAGTCACTGCCCAACCATCTGGCCTGCTGCAGAGTACTTCTGGCAGGCAGAAAGGAGCGGGTAACGATCAGACGCCCACATAACCCAGTATCAGGGGCTGGGCTCAGCCCTTAGGCGCCATATCTCCTGCTCTCATGACAACCCGAGGCCTGAGTCCCTACAAAGGGAGATGGTGGAGGTGAAGACCCCTGCTCGCAGTCACAGGCCAGCCAGGGCAGGCACAGGCACGGGACTGGACCCAGGGCTATCTCCCAGCCAGTACTTCACACCACGTCTTGGTTGTGGCCAAAAAGGAGCCCAGGAAAGCTTCTCTAAGGTAACTGGGAGCATACTGGTCTGCTCCTCCTGACTTCAGCCCTCCCAACCAGCCCCGGCCGATAAATAACCAGAATTCCTCCCACACTACATTTACGGAAACGTATAGACTCCTCTGGTGGCTAATTTGCAGACGTGCCGGGGGATTGAGGGAGGGAGACAGGCATGCTGAGGGCTCTGTTCTCCCAGGCCTTTACCAAATCAGCAGTTGGCAGGGAAATGACACATCCTTGGCTCCTAGCTGATCATCTTCTAGAGCTGGCCATTAACTCTGACTGTGGGCTGTGCATGGCCTTGCCCTTCAGAAGAGATAAACTTGCTGCCATTGGACTAATTAAAACTTTCAGGATCATCTGAGGCTTATCCGAGATTTATCATGCTACAGTAGTTATTAAAGCCAACAGGGAACCAGGACACTCGAGCAATTAGCAACCAGAGGGAACAACCGGGCACGCCCGCAGCCAGGCGACAGAGAAAGAATAGCCTGGGAAATTCCGACTGACCCCCCAGTCTCTGATCTGACCTGACTTCTTCTGAATGAAGAATACGGTGAGACTCATTAAAAGGACAAAGGGTCAGAGTGACAGGGAAGGCAGAATCCTATGTCAAATCCCCACAGCGGGGGAAGTGAAGGTACAAACAAGGTCTGCGAAGCCTGACACCAGTTAGTCCCGGGTTCCTGGGACCCCTGGGACGCAAGAAGCAGAAGCAGCTCACCGGACAACAGAGAGATTCTGGGCCTCAGCTCCCCCCACCCCCCACCCCATGACTGTATTAACTTTCCAGTTCCGGGGAACTCCAAGAAGGGACTAAATTCAGAGCTTGTGAGGAGGGTGTCACTTGGGGAAGCCTCTGTCCACAACCAGCTGATGGGAAAGGCCTCCCAGGTCCTGGGAAGGCTCCTAGATCCCACCTGCGTGCCAGGATCGGCACCACCTTGCTCACCTTCAGAACTGATGACCCCCCCGGAACCTAAGCTCCAGGGAAGGGAAGGCTAGCTGCCCTCGGCCGCTGTTTTGGAGGTGACAGGTATAAGAAACAGAAGGCCCATCAGCCCACAAGAAGGCTGGCCCGGGTAGCTAAGAGATCAGCAGTTACCAGAGGAGAGCACACAACAGGAAAGCAGGCCTGACGGCTGAGTGAGGACAAGTGAGAACGTCAGCTGGACCTGGCCCCTTCCCCCCAGGTTCACGGAGGCCCACAGGCCCCACTCACTAAGAGGCCTACCTGGCTGAGAAGCCTCACCTTGCCCCGCTCCGCAGCGAGCCCTCTGCTGCACCTCAGCTCGACCGGCCCCTGGCTGAGGGGGCTGCTGCTGGGCTGGACACAGGCTTGCTGAGGGACCGCCTGGCCAGCAGGGGCAAGAGCCGCCTCCTGAGGGTGCTCCAGCATCTCTGGCCCCCAAGCCAGGAGCCTCGGGTCCCTCTCCACGGCTCTGCCAGCCTCGTGCTCACCCTCACTAGACATTCTGGGAGACTCGGCCGCCAAGCAACAGACCATGCTGGCGAAAGCCTTACACGGCGTCTCCCACGTGCTCTCGGGCAGCTCCAGGCCCTCCAGCTGCCTGGAGATCTTGACCATCTGCAGGATGTGCCGGTAGAATCTCTGGTCCTCAGAGTAGTCTTCGCTCTCTGACTGCTCGTCGGCAGAGCTCTGCAAGTGGGCCAACTGCAGTCCCAGGAAGGGGCTGCAGCACTGCCCTCCGGCCCTGGGAGCCAGCTGGCCCCCGCCCTGCTCAGAGCCCTGCGAGCTCTGCAGGTCCCAAGGGAAGTTGCTCACCTCACCCAGGATCTGCGAGCCCAGGTGAGAAGCCAGGCTGCTGCTCTCCACGTCAGGCTCAGACTCACTAGGCTTCCTGTCTTCTTCAGGGGGCTCTAGGGACCCCAGGGGTTGTCTCTCCTCACGGTCAGGGGAGCATCCGGGGGCACTCCCGGCAGGGGCATTCTGGGCCAGCTCTAAGGCCAGCGGGGCGGGCGGCAGCAGGAAGAGCTCCTGTGGCGGGTCTTTGGCTGATGCCCCTAGAGCCTCCGGGGCATCGGGTCCTGTCTCCTTGCAGCTCCCCGGGGTGTCCTGGTTGACAAGCTTGGAGAACTGCCCCATCCACAGTTCTGGGGGCTCTTTCCTCCTCCTCCCCCTGCCCACACTACCACCTTCCCCGGAAACGCCCCGCCAGCTCAGGCCATCGGCCGCGGCGCTATCTAGCAAGAGCGCTTGGCTCTTCCTGGTAGGCGGCATGTGGTCAGAGGAACACAGGGACTGGGAGCGGTCCTCCTCCAGGGACAGTGAGGGAATGGGACTCTGGCTCTTGTCTCCCCCGGGGCCAGTGGAGCCCCATTTGGCCACGTGGTGGCCATGCTGCTCCCCTCTCAGCTGTAGGCCGGTGATGGTTTCAGAAAGCCCTGAGTACACAGAGGCCTGGCTCCTGCCTTCCAGCACATCCTGCCCATTCTGGAGGGGCCTGGTGTTCTCAGCGCCCAGGGCGCTGGGCTTCTGCTGTCTGGTCCTCAGTTCCAGCTCTTCTATTTCAGGGTCAGAAAACCCCAGGTAGATTTTGTCTGTCGGCTTCTGGGGTTTCCCCAGGCCCTGCTGGTCACCCAATTCTGTCCTGCACTGGGCTGGGGCCCTGCCTAAGATTTCCTCCACATCGGCAAAGATCTGGTGGGTGCGAGAAGCTTGGCCTTTGGAGAGTGGCTGTAGCTTGCCAGGCAGAGTGCCCAGGAGAGGCCAGGGCGTGTCACCCAGCACGCTGGGGCTCTTCCCTTTCTTAAAGGAGCCCTCACTTCTAGCCTGGATCTCCTGGTCTGGGTCCAAATCAGCAAGCCCAGGTGCCGAGAGAGGGAATGGGCCATGGAGAAGGGAGGAAGAAGGCAGAAGTCCCTGCTCAGGCTGTGTTTCCTAGATGGGTATATAAACATGCAGAGAGAACGAAGACAAAGCACTTCTGTTTTATACTTGCTACCTCAGTCCTGGGCAAGCCCTTAGCAGAAACCCACCCGCCATTTAAAGGAAAACAAAAACTAAGAGGGAAAAAAAAAAGAAAAGAAAAGAAAGAGCTAAAAACTCCTTTCAGCTCCATTGTTTTCTGGGCCCTAGATTTCCTCACCTATAGAGGAAGCTGGACTAGATCAATGGCTTACCCCCCCTGCTTCACAGAACCTGCCGATAGATCACTCTAGTGTACATGTAATGGGGAAGGGGCGTCACCAAGACCTACACCCCAAGGTTCACTTTTTCTTGATATGCTATACCTCCACGGAGGAAATGACTGGAAGACAGCGTTTCACTATTCACAAAGGTCTGAGTCACCAAACAGATTATCCCTAAGGTGTCATCAGGCTCTCAGTTCTGGGACTGGTGAATTTCATGAAATCCACCCGCCTTACCAAAGACCACCAGAAATTGTCTAAGAAGGGAGAGAAGGGAAACGTGGCCAGTGAGCTGAGCCGTGGGAATTCCATCTAGGTCTTCCAGCAGAGATGCAAACTGGTACTGCTCAAGAGAGGTCCACACCAGAGAATCTTCAGTCTCGAAGAGACCCTAAAAGACAGACCTCATCCTGCAAACATTCACACTAAGCTCCAGCCGGCCTATGCACGCACACCGCCAGAGAGCCCAAGACACCTGAGCCCAGGTCACCCACCTGGCTCAGGCCTGCCCTCTGCACAAACCCAGGTCTGAGGCACTGTCCTGAGCCCTGAGATCCAGGCTGGCAGCCCAGGGCTATCCAATCGTCCTCAGCTCCTGAAACCACAAAGGAATCCTTTTTAACAGGGAGCTCCAAGCACTTACTCACATACCCAGAACTCTGCCACCCAACCCTCTGCCCCAGAACACTCGCCTCATTCCCTCTCTCACCTTTAGCCATGCCAGAGCCTGCCCAGACACTGATTATCATTTAAAGTAGTTCTGGGCTAATGAAAAGCCCATTATCCATCTTGGGCCTTTCAAACATGTAACATCAGAAAATTCAACTGATGTGGATGTTACCCAACCTCTTTTCTCCATCTGGAGGGATGGGCTTGCTATCTTATTTCTTGGGATCATGAGTAGCAGTACATGGGGAAGGGGGAGGGAAGGAAGAGTATGTTTAGAGGTTGGAAATGTTGAAAGAGACAAATTCACCAGCAACCATCCAGTGGCAGAACTGATGCCTTGGGGAAGGAAGGAGGGAAGGAAGTTAGTTAGTTAGTTGGAGGAAACCTTCACTGAGAAGCAAGCACTAAGCACTGTGGGAAACAGACTACAAACAGAAAGCTGGACAAATGAGAGGGTTGAAAAGATAATGTCAGTGTCCCCCCCCCCCCCACCGGCTGGCCTGGGTTCCTATGGGGCCCCCCTCTCCTCACTGTGCCCCACCTGTGCCACACCTGCTCCGCACCTGTGCCACACCTGCCTCACACCTGCCCCACACCTGGGTGAAGGACTTCCTGGACCACGAGAGCACTCTGGGCGAGCCTGGGCCTCACATCGGGATGGCTCCAAGTCTTAGTTTCTTTACCTATAAAGTCAGGGCCATAACTCTGTCTCTAGAGTTCAGACACACTGGAGGAACAAATGAAACAAAACAAGGGCAAAGAGCGCTTTCAACTCAGAGTTAAAAAAACAAAGCTACCCGAGACTAAGATGATCACGCTGCCATCAAATGTCAATTATGCACCACTAACAGCCGACGCCGGCCACACAGACAATCCACAGATACAGCCCAGAGCTCTCCTCGCTGGACGTGGAAGGCACTGGCGTCCTGACAGTTGAATCAGGGCTACATCTGACATCTAGGAATTTGCACCACCCTGGGAAGACCTGGCTCTGAAGGGGCAGGGAGGACACTCCACTCGTCTGGGTTCTCCATCAACTGTCCCCCGTCCCCCACTCTCCACAGGGACAAACGACACCGCTTCCCCGACCGCCACAGAGCTCGGCAGAGTGCTCTCACTCCCTAATCCCACCACACAGCACGTGCTTCCCAAGGGGGATAAAAGGAATTGTTCAGAGGCAACAAGAACTTCCAGAAGCTAAAAGGAAAATTTGCCAAGAGATAGGCAGATCGGAGGTGATATACTATGAAGAAATCACTGTATTATTGATGCTGTTCTTAACCTCCCAGCTAGAAAGGCCTAGAGGCTCCCAACATTCCCTTAGATCTCAGCCCTGGCCTCTCTGGGAACTGGCAGCCACGGACTCACCAGCGGACTTTTGGGGTTCTCTTTGTCCTTCTTGTCTTTCTTTTCCTTTTTCTTTTTCTTGTCTTTCTTCTTAATGGCTCCAGGAGCTGATAGCTTCCCCCGCTCTTGGATCACCAAGTTCCGATAGTGCTCGTCACACGGATGGTCCCACGTGGACTGCCCATTGGCAAAGTTGAAATAGTAAATATCACCTGTGATGTCCTGGCTGTGGAGAGCAGAGATCAGAAATTAGTCTCTGCTCAGGCCCAAAGCTACTTAGGGGGAAAAAAGAAAGGAAGAAAAGTGGCCAGGAGATGGAGAAGAAGGAAGAACGGCGAAGAAGGAAGAGAGGAGCAGAAGGAGAAAGAAGAGGGCAAGAGGACATAGGGAGGATTAACACAGAACGGAAGGGTACCATGTGGCTAAGACAGGACTTAACTTAGCTAGGAACAAAGGACTGGGATGCCTAAGGACTTCTCTAGAAGAAGATATATAATCATCGGGGTTCCTGGGAATTCATGCTGGACTGGAGTAGGTATAAACTTGGTTTTAGATGGTAAGTACAGATGCCATGGGATCCTGGAGATAAATTCAAGGGTCAACCTTGCTTACTATTTTTATAAATGGCGTAAGGAAGAAAGAGCCATTCCGAAAGCTCTGGTTTTGCAGAAGACTCTGAACCCACAAGAGGTGACAATCCAAGTCAGTGGGGATCAACAATAGAAGAAGATAACGTAAAGACACCTGGGTGGCACAGTCAGTTGAACGTCCGACTCTTGATTTGGGCTCAGGTCTCGATCGCAGGGTCATGGAGCCTGCTTAAGATTCTCTCTCTCCCTCTGCCCCCACCCCCCCCCCCCCGCCCCTGCCAATTCTCTCTTTTTCTCTCTCTCTCCCTCTAAAAAAAAATAAAAAGAAGAAAAACAACATAAAAGGTGCATTTCAAGAATCTGTGTTTTGACATAGACAAGCCCAAAACAAGCCATTCATTACATCTACTGTTATCAACAATCCATTGGGACAACTATTAGAAAAACAAAGAACAAACCACACATTCACAATAGCCATATAAAAAGACACAATACCCAGGACTAAATCCAAAGTGTGCAAAATCTTTATAAAGCTTTACCAAAAAATCAGGAAAAAGGAAAAAAGAAAAAGCACTTGGAGAGACAGTCCCTGTTACTGAATAGAAAGACTCGAGTCTGGGGGCGCCTGGCTGGTTCAGTTGGCAGAGCACATGATTCTTGATCTCGGGGTTGTGAGTTCAAGCCCCACACTGGGTGTAGAGACTACATTAAAAAAAAAGACTCACGTCTATAAACATGTTGATAATCCTCAAATTAATGTATAAATCCAATACAATCCCAGTAGAATCCCAAACAGGCTCCTGATAAAACCTGACAAGCTCAATCGCGATTCTAATAAAAGAGAAAACATGCAGATATAAGCAGGGAAAATATCAGGGATGAAAGATAAAAAGCTAACAAACGACAGAGAAGCACACCAGAAGCTGCACGACACCCATGACCATCAGGGAACGTGGGCGGCCACTTCATGCCCAGCAGCACAGCTACTGCCAAATGAGCAGGGACGAACAGGTGTGGGCAAGGATGTGGGGACACCGGACCCTTGTACACTGTTGGTGGGGATGGAAAGGGGTGCAGCCACCATGAGAAACAGTGTGGCAGTTCCCTAAAAATTAAAATCAGAACTCCCATATGACCCAGTAATTCCGCCCAAAAACACCAAAAGCAGGGATCGAGCAGACTTTTATACACCATGTTCACAGCAGCATTATTCATAATGGCAGAAGGGTACAAGCAGCCCAAATGCGCACCGACAGACAAACGAAGGAACAACATGTAGCACAGACATACCCTAGAATTTTATTCCACCTTGAAGAGGAAGGAGGTACCAACACGGGCTACCACACGGATGAAGCCCGCAGATGTGATGCTAAGTAAAATAAGCCAGACACAAAAGGACCAATACTGTGGGTCCACTGATGCCGTCTAGAACAGGTTAATAAGCAGAGACGGAAAGTAGATCTGAGGTTGCCCAGAGCTGGCAGGTGAGGAGAATGGGCACAGACTTTCAGTTTAGGAAGCTGAAAAAGTTCTAGAACTGGATGGTGGTAATGCTTACACAACACTGTGAATGTGCTTCGTGCCACTCAACTGTCTATCTAAAAATGGTTAAAACAGGACATTTTATGTTATGTATGTTTTACCAGGAAAAAAAATTACAAAAAATGTATAATTTCAGTGTGATAAAAGAAAGAGTAAAGACAATAAAAAACAGGAGAATGGAAGAAAATAACAGAAACCGTAGTAGAACATTAATACACAGAAAAATCTGAGTTTCACCTTCTCCAAAATAAAAAGATAAGCGACCCAGCAGACAAAGCTGGCAAAGGGTATAAAGAAGCAAACGGCCAACAGACGGCCAGTTCCACTCAATGAACAATTTGAGAAATGCAAATTCAAACGATCAGGTATAATTTCCTGCCCTTGGAGTGACAATTTTTTTTGTACTGATCATTTCTGGAGGGTTGACAATGTTATAATCGATAGTATTTTTAAATGAACCACATGTACTATTATTGGAGGGATTGTTAAACTGTAATGGAAAGTCATTTGGCATTAACTAATGATATTTAAATTCGGCATATCTTTAAACACATCGATTCAAAATCTAGAAATCTAAAATCAAATCACATCTAAAATCAAATTCTAGAAATTTCTTCTCCAGATACACATACAAAATCTCAGGCAACATGCTTAACCAAACTGAAGGAAACATCTGACCTCTCCTCACCTGGGGCCAAATTCTCAGAGGCCAGAAAAAGAAAGAACACATGAAGCCTGATTAGTATGAGAAGTAACAGGTCAATAGTCTGGTGTCTGACCTAGACAGAGACCTTTCAAACCTGGGTTTTAATGCCAACTGACAGACACAAGAGATGACCTTAGGCTTTCAGGAATCTGGAAACCAGGAATGAGACCCTTGCATATGGCTGGGCCCTTAAGGCTTCTTGCTCCCTGAGTAGAAAAACATAGTGGAGCAAGGAAACATGTCACCCAATCCAGGTCTAGGCAGGCAAAATCAAATGTCATTAAATATTAAAACCCCCGGGGCGCCTGGGTGGCTCAGTGGGTTGGGCCTCTGCCTTCGGCTCAGGTCATGATCTCAGGGTCCTGGGATCGAGCCTCACATCGGGCTCTCTGCTCAGCGGGGAGCCTGCTTCCCCCTCTCTCTCTGCCTGCCTCTCTGCCTACTTGTGATTGATCTCTCTGTTAAATAAATAAATAAATTTAAAAAATATATATATATATTAAAACCCCAATGGGGCGCCTGGGTGGCTCAGTGGGTTGGGCCGCTGCCTTAGGCTCAGGTCATGATCTCAGGGTCCTAGGATCGAGTCCCACATCGGGCTCTCTGCTCAGCGGGGAGCCTGCTTCCCTCCCTATCTCTCTGCCTGCCTCTCTGTCTACTTGTGATCTCTCTCTGTCAAATAAATAAATAAAATTAAAAAAAAAATTAAAACCCAAGACACATGTAAACATAGAGTCCAAATTTGGTAAAGAAATCCCAAATCAGAAAATTAATGTAAAAATTTAGTCCTAAACCCACTGAAAAATCCTCGGCATAAGCTATCGTAAAGCCACTCAACAACCTAGGAATAAAACACAGAAGATACTCTATAGAAGATGGAGTCCAGGGGTGCCTGGGTGGTTCAGTGGGTTGAAGCCTCTGCCTTCGGCTCGGGTCATGATCTCAGGGTCCTGGGTTCGAGCCCCACGTCAGGCTCTCTGCTCGGTGGAGAGCCTGCTTCCCCCTCTCTCTCTGCCTGCCTCTCTGCCTACTTGTGATCTCTGTCTGTTAAATAAATAAACTCTTAAAAAAAAAAAAAAAGAAGATGGGAGTCCAAAAGTCCCAATACTTAATTACCAAACCCCATGGGGGAGATAGTTCATGGTGAAGGGGAATCAGAGCCAGCGAAGACAAGCATTAGCACACAAGGACACTTGGCATGGTAGAATCATCAAAAGAAGACTAAAATTAACTACAACTAAAATTACTATAGAGAAAAGAGTAGAAGCCATAATGAAAGAACAGAACTCTAAAAAAAAAAAAAAAAGGACATATTGAAAAACATAACAGAACTTGTAAGAATTGGTAAAATCATTAAATTAGGGGAGGAAAGGGGGATGAAGAGACATGACTCCTCAAAGAAAGAAAGCACCCAAATCCTGAACTTGGGAAATAGAAATAAATACACACCTGATACACTGCAGTGAAATTATAGAACACCAAAGATAAAAATAAAATTATAAAAATAACCAGAGGGGGGAAAGATTTACTACCCACTAAGGAACAACAAATGAGACCAAGAAAATATGTCTTATTAAGGAAAACCGTAAGTCAGAAGATAATGGTACATAATATTGGCCAAGGCTGTTCAAATTCAAGAGACAATTCTGTACTCAAACTGTTATTCAGAGTGAGACCAGACAAAAGTGCCTAGGGACACAGGAAGACATAAACACATCTAGATGCTTGATAGAAAGGATATTTATAGAACCCTATATTGAAAAATGAGAGACTATATTCTTACTGAAAACACCTAGGACATTTACACAAATAGAACCACTTACTGAGCCAGAAAAGAGGTCTTGACTTGTAACAAAAAAGTGAATAAATAAAATTGGAAGTCAATAATAAAAAAAAATACCCAAACTCTATCTACCTCATCCCCTTCAAACTATTATTTTAGAATAAAGATACTTAACAAAATTTTAGAAAATCAAATCCAATAATATATGATCACGACCAGGTGGACTTTATCCCAGGAATGTAAGGTCAGTTTTATATTTGAAAATCAATCAATATCATTGACCATATTAAGACTAAAACAGAAAAAAAAAAAAAAAAAAAAAAAACCCACGATCGTATCAATAGATACAGAAAAAGCATTTGGTAAAAACCTATATGCTTTTTGATTTAGACTCTGAGCAAGCCAGGAATACAGGGAACTTCTTCACCTTGACAAAGGGCATTTACAAAAACTACAGCTAACATCATATTCAATCCCTTAAGATGAGGAACAAAGCAAAAATATCCATTGTCACCATTTCTATTATTGGCAGCTCTAGTCAGTACAGTAAGGAAAGAAATAAAAATAAAAGGCATCCAGATTGGAAAGGAAGAAGTAAAAATGTCTTTTGCACGAAGACTGTGATCACATATATAGGAAATCCTATGTAATCTACAAAACTATTAGAAATGACATACGTGGGGCACCTGGGTGGCTCAGTCAGTTGAGTGTCAGACTCTTGATTTCGGCTCAGGTCATGATCTTGGGGTCATGAGACTGGGCCCCCACCCCATCTCCTGCTTTGGGCTCCATGCTCAGAGGGGAGTCTGCTCTCTCCCTCTCCCTCCCTCCTACTCCCCCAGCTCACTGTGTGCCCAAGAGCACACACACTTCTCTCTCAAATAAATAAATAAATAAATAAATCTATTAAAAAAAAAAGAACTGACATATGAGTTTACAAGGTTGCCAGCTACAAGATCAATATACAAAAGCTAATTTTATTTCTATATAAAAACAATAGGAAATTGAAATTTTAATATATACCATTTACAGAAACATCAAAAATACACACTACTCAGGAATAAGTTTAACAAAATATGGGCAAGACATGTGCACTAAAAACCAGGAAACATTTCTTAGAACCATCTAAATAAACAGAGACGGGCCCTGCTCATGGGTTGAAAGACTCCATGTAATTTTAGAGGTCAATTCTCCCTAAATTGATTTATAGATTCGGTGCAATGCCAATCAAAATCTTAATAGGATTTTCTTTTTCTTGTAGAAAATGACAAGCTGATTCTAAAATTCATGGAATGGAAATGCAGAGGACCTACAATAATTACAACTTGGAAAATGGTGAACAAAAGCTGGAGGATTTACCCTAAATGACCTCAAGACTTACAATAAAGCTACAGTAATCAAGATAGTACATACAGTATCGGTGTTAAGGTAGACAAACAGATCAATGGAAGAGAGCAGAGAAGCCAGAAGTAGACCCACACAATCGGTGTTAAGGTAGACAAACAGATCAATGGAAGAGAGCAGAGAAGCCAGAAGTAGACCCACACATAGGGTTAATTTGCAAAAAAAATCGAAGCACCCTTCAGTACCAGAGTGGTTAAATAAATCAGGATTTTTAAAAATTAGGGCACATCTCTACATGCAAAAGTGTGTAGCTGATAAAAGGCTAAGGTGGGCCACACGTTGACAAGAGAACAGCAACAATGTATACTGCACACACTTAGTGTAACAAACAAAACCATGTGCGTCCTGCCGGGTGTGTTTTCAAGGCCAGGAAGGAAGTCATCAATTAACAGTAGTTACTCTTGGAATTAACAGGATAGAAGATGGCACGCGCAGATAAATTTTAATGATTTACAGTGTTTTAAAAATTGCAGGAGAGTTCATGCTCCCTTCCAGGCTGAGGGAGCGCCGGCCACCACAAGCAGGACCGTGAAGGCAGCGGGCACAAAGCCTTGCACACGGGCGCCCGGCTGACCCATGACCGAAGACGGTGTCTTCCCTTCTGCCCTCCGCTTTCCTTTTCACAAACACGGCTGCCATTTATTTATTAGGTATGTGTGCATTAAGGTATTACTATACTGATTATACTTCTCATGTGGTTTTTCATTCAAAAATGGATCCAAAAGCAAAACAACACATGTACCAACAAACATAAAAACAAAAACAGAGAAGATAGAGATTAATGGATGAGGCAAATGTCCGGCCCCAAGCCGATGAGTCAGGTAAGCGACAGACTCTTGGTCACGATCAAGGTCATGATCTCCTGGGATCAAGGTCCGCATCAGGCTCTGCCCTGGGCGTGGAATCTGCTTGAAGATTCTCTCCCTCTACCCCTCCCCCCATGTGTACTCTCTAAAACAAACGAACAAATCTGTGAAAAAAACAGATAAGGCAAATGTGGGTATCAGGGTGGATACTGGCAACAAAACAGAAACCACTTCCTACGAACTTATCCTACAAACCCAACATGCGTCCTCGGCACCTGGAATACCGTGTACAGCACGGACAGACTTCTTACGAGAAAGATGAACTGGAAGAGATCTGAGGAGATGCAGCTAAAAAGATCAAGAGAACGCGGAGCCTGCCACCCAAGGAGAAGCTAAAAGGATTACGTATGATTCTTCAGCAGGGATGGGTAAGGCCACAGATGCAGTCATTTTGAAGCTTGGCCGATACATTGAATGGATGGGTAAGAGCAGAATAATTACACCGTGCCCACAAAACTGTGCCACACCGGCAGAACGGAGGACCCCAGAAGACACCTAGGCACTAGCTGGGGACAAGCATAGGCAAGTGGCACACTCCAAGAGGAAGTAAACTTAGCACACACTTGCAGAGGCAAGCCGGTGTGCACTGCACCGGTGACAGGAAGAACAGAGCAGGCGGCCAGAAGAGAGAACAGGTGTCACCGTCCCCCGAGAGTGGGACAGGCTGGCAACAGCTTCCAAGACCCTGTTAGCCTCCTCACCATCAACCTGGTTCCCTGACACAAGCTGAGTGGGTCCGCTCGCCACCATTCAGAGAGCTCAGAGCCAAACTGAAAATAGGAACGAATCCACAACTCAAAGTCAGAGACAGGTTGCCAAGGGAGACAGAATCCCCACCAGGCTGTGGGGCCCCACCACAGCCCTCCTTAGCACCCGATCCACCGTGGACATGCTGACCGGGTCTCGGCATTGTCACTCTCCACGGCAGTCTGCAAAGAATAGCAATGACACCTCCCCAGCGTGTGGGAAACAGACGCTGCCCTTGTGAGACCCGACCCAAGGCAGCCACTCCTGGGACCCTGGACCAAGCAGGTCGGCGTAAGCTCAGGCCCAAGGCATCAGGTGGCGCAGCAGGGGGAGAGCCCACTGCCATTCCCAGCTCTGTGCAGGACAGGCTTCGAAAGGTGGCAAGTGCAAGCTCACCTCCAGGGCCAGCTCCCTCTGCCTGGGAGAGGCCAAGCCGGCGGGCCACATGCGTGCCGACTTACCAGGGCTTCCACTCCACAGGCAGCGGGGCCACAATGCCCTCCCTCGCCAGCCACATCAGTTCCGGCTCTTTGACGGGGTCGATACCAATCTCTCTGGCGAACTCGAGAATCTCTGCAAGAAGAGGCAGGAGAATGAGAAAGGAAGAAAGCTGGGGATGTGGAAAGGAGAAAAAAAAATCATAGCTGTGCAATAGTGTAACTTGTACAATAATAAGAAATAATAAGACATATACCTGTTGGCTCCCGGTTCCCATTACTATTTGACTTTGGACCCAAGTTCCTGACCAGAGCTCCGAAAGCCCCGGGAAATTCCAAAGCATCTTTTCTACTAATGAGGTGACTCTGGGCAGGCTCCTGGATGGGGGATGGTCACCAGAGAGACCAAGCCATGTTTAGAAGCTTGGGCCTTGGGGCACCTGGCTGGCTCAGCTGGTAAACCATGCAACTCTTGATCTCGGGGTGGTGAGTTCGAGCCCCATGCTGGTGTAGAGATTATGTAAATAAAAAGTCTGGAAAAAAGGGGGTGGCCACCTGGGTGGCTCAGTCGGTTAAGCATCTGCCTTGGGCTCAGGTCATGATCCACGGGATCCTGGGCTCGAGCCCCATGTCAGCCCTGATAAGCAGGGAATCGACTTCTCCCTACACGCCTCTCCCAGGCTCCTGTGCACACATGCCCTCTCTCTCTAAAACAAACAAACAAATAAATAAAATCTTAAAAAAAAAAAAAAAAAAGAAGCAGCAGCTTGGAACTTTCGGCCTCACCCCCATTCCCCGGAGAGGGGCTTGATCAATCATGACTTGGTGAAGAAGCTTCCATAAAGATCCCTAAACTACGGGGCTCAGAGAGCTGTGGTGGTTGGTGAGCACTACCACGTGCCGGGGAAACCTGCGTCCCAGGTCTACAGAGACAGACGCTCCTGCAGTGGGGCCCTCTCGGACCTCACGCATTGGATCTCCACATCTGGCTATTCATCTGTTTCCTTTATGATACCCTTTATTATACAATAAACTGGAAAATATATGTTTTAAGTGTTTCCCTGAGTTCTGTGGCCTGTTTTAGCAAATTATCAAACCCAAGGAGGGGGACATGGGACTCTGGTGTCTCGCTTGTTGGTCAGAAGTACCAGGGACAGCCTGGGACTTGCTACGGCAAGTCTGAAGTAAGGGCAGTCTTGTGGGACTGAGCCCTTAGCCTGTGGGATCAGATGCTCTCTCCGGGGACACAGTGTCAGGGCTGAACTGAATTGCAGGACATACAGCTGGTGTTAGGAAACCCCCAGACATCTAGTGCCAGCATTTTGACTGTGAGAGTAAAGGAAAAGCAGAGTTTCTTCCTAGACTTTTTTTTTCTACTTCACCTTTACTCTCTAAATTTTCCTAAGTGAGCAAGTGTTATGTCTCTAACTATAAACAATAAATTTACATAATTTCATCTTTTTTTAAGATTTTATTTATTTGACAGACAGAGATCACAAGTAGGCAGAGAGGCAGGCAGAGAGAGAGGGGGAAGCAGGCTCCCTGCCGAGCAGAGAGCCCAATGTGGGGCTCGATCCCAGAACCCTGGGACCATGACCTGAGCCGAAGGCAGAGGCTTTAACCCACTGAGCCACCCAGGCGCCCCTAATTTCATCTTCTTAAATGATAAATGGTACACCTGAACCAAGGCATGCTACTGCCATACTCCAGGAATGTCATCTGAAGCCAAGGCAAAATGGTAAGACCAAGACCATCAGTGTGGTAGGGACCTGGGGAAGAAGCGCACCAGCCACAGCCAAAGCCATCCTGAATGAGGGCAGCCTTACCAAGACACAAGCTCTCCCAAGATTTCCAAAATCTTGCTGCAAAAGTGCTCGTCACTCAGTCAACTAGCATGAACGCAACTAGATAAGACTAAGCACCCGGAGGACCTTACCGACCCACGAACGGAGTCTAAACCACGGGGCAGGTGTCTGAATGGAGATCTGCACTGTGTGCCCAGGAGCAGAGACAGAGCAGTGACTTCTGCTCGGGGTCCGGGGATGTCTGAGCTGGGAAAGGGGGATGATACTTGAGCAGCCTTGTTCTCCACTCAACCCTTTCACCCATGACGGCAGTTGTTTCTTTTCCAATTTTGCTATATATTATAGACTCTGAGACTTGCGTTATACTCTTGTGGGAAGCATTTAGAAAGCTCTTTCACCAGAGATCTGGAGGAACCGGGGAGATATATATATATATATACATACTAAGAGCTAGCTCACACCAGCAGGGAAAAAGACAGATGAGCTAACCACTAGAATGTCACCAGAGCCCCCAGGAATAATGAAATAAACACATCGATGCTTCAGCTACTAAGAGCCCAGGCCAGAAAAGCATCACCAGTTTGGGTCATCTCAGGGGGAACGGGGAGGATGACATACCTGGGGACCAGGGAAGAAAAAGCACGTTTTCAAAGGACCAGCTGGAATTTGGCTAGCCAGGGACAAACTTATTCACAGAGCTCACAGTTTTTGAGTGCTTCCTGTTTGCTGTGAATAAGAGAAACAGTGTCTGTCCTTATGGAGAAGAAACCACCAGTAAAGAAGTGAACAGACAACTGCACAAAGAATTACAGCTTCTGATAAAGGAAATGAAGGAAGTAAATGAGGAATGAGAGAGAGAATGTCAAGGTGGAAGGGGCACTCCTTTGGAAAGGGCCAAGGGAAACCTCTCAGAATGGAACACAAATGAAACCTAGAGGAGACAAGGGAGCTGGCCATGCAGAGCACTGAGGAAAGAGCACTCAGGTGCAAAAGGCCTGTGGCAAGTGGTAGTTTGGCCCCTCTGGGGACTGTCAGAAAGGTCATGTGACTGGCAGAGTGGGAAAGAGAGAACAGCACTGGCACTGGGTGAGCCCAGCCAGGTGGCAGACTGGGTCATGCAGAGTCCCACACACCCCACTAAGGGTGCTCTGCTAAATAGAATAGATTATTACTAAAAGCAGAGCCCTGCAATGATCTGCTTTACACTGTAAGAACACTCTGGTGCCAGGGGGAGCATAAACAGGAAGGTGGTGCTTTTTGTGAGGACACCTGGCTTTGGGTCCCAGCTGCGCTGCTCAGCAGACCTGTGCCTTGATGGAAGTTGGTTTACCTTCCTGTGCCCCATTTCCTCATCTGTAAAATGGGAATGGTAACAGTACCTAACTCATGGAGCTGCTGTGAGGGTTGAAAAGAAGTAGATGTGGGGCACCTGGTTGATTCCATTGGAAGAGCATGCAACTCCTGATCTCGGAGTTATGAGTTCAAGTCCCGCATGGGGTACAGAGATCACTTAAGTTAAAAAAAAAAAAAAAAAAAAAAGAGTAAAGGAGATACATGTAAAGTTCTTAGCACAGAAACCAGTACAGAGGAGCACTCAGTAAATTCTGTTATTTCTGCTGTTTCAAAACAAGGGGCGCCTGGGTGGCTCAGTCGTTAAGCATCTGCCTTCGACTCAGGTCATGATCCCAGAGTCCTGGGATGGAGCCCTGCACGGGGCTCCCTGCTCAGCGGGAAGCCTGCTTCTCCCTCTCCCACTCCCCCTGCTTGTGTTCCCTCTCTCACTGTGTCTATCTCTGTCAAATAAATACATACGATCTTTAAAAAAAAAAAAAAAGGCTTTAGTTTTCATCTTATGAAATTGGGTTACCTCCTGGTTTTAGGACACACTATATTTCACGATATCCCCTACTATATTGTTTTTTCTTAAGATGGACTCCTTTTTTTAAAATATTCATTCATTCATTCATTCATTTTAAGGTTTTATTTTTAAGTAATCTCTATACCCAACGTAGGGCTCAAACTCACAACCCTGAAATTGGGTCACATGCTCTATGGACTGTGTCAGCCAGGCGCCCCTATATTTTCATTTTAAAATTAATCATTGGTCAGGGGCACCTGGATGGCTCAGTCAGTCAAGCGTCTGCCTCAGACTCAGGTCATGATCCCAGGGTCCTGTGATTGAACCCCACATCGGGCTCCTTGTTCAGTGGGGAGTCTGCTTCTCCCTCTTCTCCTTGCTCATTCTCTCTCTCTCTAATAAATAAATAAAAATAAATTAAATTAATCACTGATCCAACCCAGTCAGCAAACCTTTTGTGTAAAGAGCTAGACAGTAAGTATTTTAGGCTTTGTGCATGACAGGGCTCCTGTCACAACCCCTCAACACTGCCTAGGTGCCATGAAAAGCAGCCACAGACAATACATAAGCAAAAGCATGGCTATTTTCTAATAAAACTTTATTTACAAGAAGGCAACAGGCCAGGTCAGGTCCATGGACTATAGTTTTCCCTGATTTAACCGAATACACGGAGTGGCCCTGCACACACAGCATGCTTCGTGTTGAAAAGACAGAGCTCAATCCGAGATCATCCCGGCCCTCGAACTGCACCCCCGGCCTCTTACCTTGCTCACTGGGGATGTAGGTCTCATCATAATCTTCCTCTAGAACCAGCTGGTCTCCTATGCGGATGGGTCTTCCGGCCATGACTGGTTTGGGCTCAAACACCTGCGCCCAAAGAGAAAATCAGTGACCCGGCTTAAAAGGGGAAAAACCGGAGCTGGGTCAGGCAGCACACCTGGGTCAGACCAGACCATGCACACCAGCTTAGCCGGGGATTTTCCAACTCCAGGGACAGTGAAGTGTGGGACAAACAGCTCAAAACCCAGGCCTTCTAGGCTTTGCACCTGGGAAAGTTCCCTGAGACACACCTCCCAAAGGCTTGCTGAACACATAGTGAGTCACAAAGGATCTGGAAACCCAGCCTTCTCTGAGAGTTTGACTTCATATGCCGCCCGCCCCCAACACAGGAAAAATAATTCACAGTATAGGACCCCCAGCTAGAAAACCCTAGTGAAACACCAGAGGAACTAGCAGCACCCCTCACTCCCATATACCAACGTATCCCAGGGCAGTCCCACAGTCTCAGCACACATCCCTATTTGCCTTCAACCATGTCCTCAGGGAGCTGACGATCTAGTGGCAGTAGCAAACCCAACTTTAATGTTAGAAGGCAGAAGGGGAGTAAAACCATACAGCTCTGGAAATACTAGGAGAGAAAGAACATTCCCGCTGAAGAGAGGACCGCAGGCTTTGTCAAGGGGCTGGGGATGAAGGGCTGTCAAGAGTGGCGTGAGTGGAGAGAGGTGTTCTAGGCAAGGGGACATCGTGTGCAGACAAGCGGTTCTGGAGTGCTGGACCCCAGCGGGCATGGCAGGGGCTGGGGCAGAAAGCCAGGTCACGGAGGAGAGCCGTGTAGACCATGCAGAAGAGCCTCGCCTTTCCCCTGTGGCAAAGGGAGCTGCTGAGGGCTTTGGTGAAAGAAAGTGGCACAGACTGGCCTTTTTCTAGGTTGAGAACGTTGGCAGGAGTGGCACGGCAGGACCGGAGGAATGAGACTGGTGGAAAACCACTGAGGAGGCCTTAAACGAGGGCAGAAGCAGAGAGAAGGCAGAAGGGGCAGAGGCTGTGATGGCAGGCTTCATAGGACCAGGAAGGAGGACAGTTGGGGGAAAGGAGTCTGACTTGAAACCAAGGTTTGTAGCTCCAGGGATGGACCAGTGTCAAATTGTTCAACTGACGAGCTGTCCCCGTTCTAGAATTGCTCCTCCCTTCCAATCCCTCCTCCTGTAACTATTGAGGACCCCGGGTCACAACTCTCCCCTCAGGCAGCTCCCACACCGAAGCTCCCCAGGATGCAGAGACAAGTCACCCTGGACAGGGGCTTCCGCATACGGCACTGCTGGGAGGGCTGTCACCACCCTGGTGTGACTGACACGAGCCTAGAGCAGCCTCTTCAGAAGCTGTCACTGCTCCACCCGGAGCAGCAAGCACAACACAGCCCTCTTCTAGCAGGGGAAGTGAGCAGAAAGACCCTGTCATCCAAAAGAAGGTCAGGAGTGCTCACGGCCTTACCTGGTAGCTCAGAATCTGTCCCAGGACCCCCAGAGAGGGACCTGTGATGAACAGCACAGGACAGAGGAGGGACTGTTGCTGTGGCCCTCTCCGTACCCTGAGAGTTGACAGCCGGCCAAGGAACGTATCTTGCCTCAGGACTCACGAGAGATGGCTCCCTCTGTCAGCACACCGGAGCCAAGGGAGTCAGACTCTGCCCCCTCTCACTCCCACCGTGACACCTCCAAGCAGTAACTTCATGCCTCAGGAAGACAGGCTAATGGAAGAAGCGTTCTCCTCTGTGGTGCATCAACCCAAGTGGGGATCTGCTTCCTACCCGAAGATCCCATAACACCCTGCCGAAGTAATGTTCCCTCCACACACAGCAGAGGTAAGTAGGGTTACTGACTCTGGAAAAGCAGAGCAGGAACCAGATGTAGCTAAAGGAGCCAAGGGAATCTTGAGTTCTCTGAGTTAGGAAAAAGAGGGAAAGGATCGCTGGGGACATTAGGCTAGCCATCATTTGATCCAACAGGGCAGTGATCTTTTTTTTTTTTTTTAAGATTTTATTTATTTGACAGTGAGCGAGATCACAAGTAGGCAGAGAGGCAGGTGGGGGAGAGGGAGAAGCAGGCTCCCCGCAGAGCAGAGAGCCCGATGCGGGGCTTGATCCCAGGACCCCAAGATCATGACCCAAGCCAAAGGCAGCGGCTTAACTCACTGAGCCACCCAGGCGCCCCACGGCAGTGATCTTTTACAAGGTACTTTATCAACCACCTCAGAGCAACTGAGAAATCTCACATGTGGGAGATGTCACATATCCCTAGACACATCCCATCTGAGGAAAGCAGGCGGCAGGTAAAATCTTGTTGCCGCAGAATGCCTGATTAGCTATATTGAAAAGGTCAGGAAGAACCCGGAAAATCTAAATTCACGGATCACTCCAATATCAAACAAATTTTTCCGTCAGAAAAAAATCAAGATGTGGGTGGGCTATATTCTCCCTCCTCTCTTTGCTTTGCCTAGCTTAAGAAAGGATGTGGGTAAGGGCAGGACCAAAAGAACAGGAACTGTAGGAACGAGGAAGGTGGTGGGAAGAGAAATCCTATGCCTTTAATGACTACTAGACATCATTTATTCATTCGAGAAATATTTATTGAACACCTACTAAGTTCACTTCTTGCTGGCACTAGAGACGTGATGAGGAGTAAAAACACCCGCAAGCTAACAGAGCATACTTACACACACATCCGCATAATCAGAGTTCCCTGGGTATGGGTTTCTTCCACTCTGCTGGGACAATTACAGAGAAAGTGCAGCTGAGAAAAGCAGGCTTACTGAGAAGGCACTGGGGAGAAGGCGGGAGACGTGAGAAGTGATTATGTAGTGGTAACTGAGTGCAGATCTGGGAACGTTCTTGGCTCTGAACCCCAGCTCTGCCATTTACCAGCAGAGCAAGCTGCCTCAATTTTCTCCTCTGTAAAATGGAGATAACAAGGTCTATCCCAGAGGGCGGTGAGAATCAAATTATTCAATACATGGGCGGGGGGGAGGGGTAACGCCTGGGTGACTCAATCAGTTAGGCCTCTGACTCTTGATTTCTGCTCAGGTCATGATCTCAGGGTCATGAGATCGAGCCCCACGTCTGGCTCCACGCTCAGCATGGAGTCTGCTTGAGATTCTCTGTCTCCCTCTGCCCCTCCTGCTCATGTTCGCTCTTGAGTGAATGCTCTCTCTAAAAAAATAAATCTTTAAAAAAATTAAATAAAAATAAATTATTCAATACACATAAAATACTTAAAACATAGTAATATCTCAATAAATGGGTTGTTGTTATTACTATTACATATCTGAAAGGCCTATTCTACCTTGTTCCAGAGGACCGATCGAGTACCAGGGAATGTAAGTAGAGGCCTTTCTGACGTTCAATGACCACTTATTGAACACCAACCATGGGCTGGCACTGTGCTAACTGTTAAGGCTACAAGCCTGATTACATGGAGTCCTGAACTCCAGCTGAGCCTAGCTGAGAAGCCAAACACATAAAGATATGGTTGTAGAATGTGTGAGGCATGTTAAATAGCAGGAGGTACAACAAGAAACCAAGGTAAGGACAACTAACCTTATTCTGGAAGATCAGGGAAAGCATCAGAGTAGAGAACCAATGAGAGGACTCTTCAAGAATCAGCAGGAGCTCACAAGGATATGGGAAGAGAAGGCAGAAGAAACAGCATGCACAAAGGCACAGAGGCAGGAAGAACACAGTGGGTGCAGAGAATTCATTTTGACAACAAAAGTTTATATTCCCTGAATAATTCCTATGTTCCAAGAACGGTCCTAATACTATATATACATCATCTCACCCCGTTCTCTCCAAGGGGTAGAAAATATTTTTCCCATTTTTCAAATAAGGAAAGTGAGGCTCGGCAAGGTTAAAGAAAAAAAGAACAACTTCCCAAGGCTTCACAGACAGCAAAGGGCACAGCCTAACTGACATGCCACCCCCATGTCTCTCTGACCCCAAAGCCTGAGCTCTTCACCACTCCGACACGGCCAGCACGCAAGGGACAATGAATGGGTGGAGTGGCAGGAGAGAGAGCTACAGTTGGAAGGCCCAGAGCACACTATAAAGGGCTTGGAAGGATTTAGGTTGAATCCTGTATGTGAGGAGGAGCCAGCACAGGATTTCACAAAAGAGACAGGCATGATGAGATCTGCAGTTTAGCAAGATATTCTGACAGCTGTCTAAGAACTAATTTCAGGAGGGCAAGAACAGAAGCAGAGCGACCACTTAGGAAGCTTTCCTGAAAGCACAGGCAAGAAATTATGAACTAAGCCAGTGGCTGTGAGAATTGAAAGGAAGGACCAGATGCGTACGGTATTAGGCTGCAGAATCACAGGACCTGAAGTCTGCAGCAAGTGAGGGATGGGGAGGAGGGAAATCAGGGCACTTAGACTAGCGTGGGATTATCTGTTCACTTCTATGCCTTGCCCAATAGCCCCACCTAGCCTACTCCCTAGAATACAGGAAAAGCCCAGCAAATGTTTGCCGTGTATATCCTAAGACTGAATTCCAGGTGCAGTCCTTCACGGACACAGGAACTACTGAAGGAGGCGCAGACCTGGGGGTCCAGGATGGCGGGGGAGGGACGCAGCTGGAGATGATCGGTAAGCAGGTCTGAGCTCAGGAAACAGGTGTGGCTGGGGCTCACGGTAGTTAAACAGACGGTCACTGAACTGCGGGCGAAATCACCCAGACGCGGCCTGTGGTGAGCAGAAAGGACAGGCCTGCAAAGACGGCTGAGTTAGGAGGCCCGGGAGCGAGGAGTCGCGGAAGCCAAATGAGGGCTGCGATTCCAGGTGGAGGAGATAGATTTTTTTAATCCGTGCAAGGAAAGGAAGGGGAAAACAAACCTCCAAAACTTCCCGACTTCCCCAGCTGGCCCAAAGACTGCAGAAGGTCGGGCTAGCCCTGGATTCGGGCACGGGGAAAGCCTCCCCACGAAAGTATTCGAGCGCGGTTCGGAAGCCGGGCCTCACTCTCCACGGACCGGACAAGTAAACGGGCGCCCCAGCAAGCTCACACGCCGTCACTCGCGCTCCGGCTCGCCGCTCGCTCCCCGCCGGCACCCCAGCCCAGCCCAGCGCCCCTTCCAACACTCGGAGAGATTCTGGATGGATGCACCCTAGTCCGGCCGCTCCTTCCCAACCTCTCTCCCCAGTTCCCGCCCACACTCGTGCTCCTCCCGCTGGCGGGCACACGAGTGTGTCCCAACTCTCCCGCTTCCCTCCTTCCCCCGCCACCCGACCCCTTTCTCCAGGAGGTCCTCACCTGCCCCCCGCCCCGGGAGGCACTGGGCCAACGCTCCCGGCTCTGCGCAGCTTCCCCAGCACCACCCCGGCTCCCCGCTTCCAGGGACGCCGGGGTGTTGCCCTGCAGCGGTCAACAACCACTTCCGGAAAGGGTACCGACTTAGCAACTGAGAGTCCCGCCTCTCCACGGAACCAAGAGGTCGCTGAACGAGAGCGGTGGCACTGGATTGGTTAGAGATCCCGTCGGGTCACGTAGGACTTGTGCACGTTTTCCCATTGCACGATGGGAGTTGTAGTCCAAGGTCGTTAATGAGGGGGCCGCAAGGGGTGCTTGGAGAGCTCTGAATTCGATTAGGAGGGGAATTTCTTCCCGGGGCAGGAAAGGGTCATTCATAGTATTTATGGTAACGTGAATTAACTAAAGAAATCTATTCGTCATCATTTTTTAAGTAGTGTGATTAATATCAGGTGAAGAAGACGCTGATCATCAGTAACCCGTTGAGTCTTTAATAAACAAAAGAAATATGAATGTAAGGTAAGGGGAGACCACCTCCCCCACCCCAACAGAAGATGCTTCCCTGGGCTCAGATGAAATCAGTGAGGACCTGATCAGGACTTGAGAGCTGTGTTTTCCCGGTGTTTACCTTTGACTCAGAGCGCAGGGCTGTTGAATGTCTGGAACATTGGGGATGATAATATCTCTCATAACTATTTCAAAGAGTCTGTTTAAGAAGAAAAAGGTGACAAGGGTGCCTGGCTGGCTCAGCGGCCCGGAGGAGGGGTGGCTGTGGCTCTTGATCTGGGAGTCGTGAGTTGGGGCCACACACTGGGTGTCGGGATGACTTAAATACATTTTTAAGAAAAAAGTGACACAATGTGTAGCCCCCTCCACAGGCTCAGTCTGGCAGAAGGATTGCTATTAATATAATCCCAAAGAGCTTAATCTGGCTCAGGTGGAGGGCAGATCTTTTTTGTCCTCAACCTCCTTCTAACAAAGAAGTTAAGAGGGTCATTACACCAATGGGAAACTGCAGGGCAGAAAAGTGAACTTCCCAGTTAGAGAGAATGAAGCACCTAGAGCAGATCCTGACAGGTTCTGTTGTGGATATGGATCTGACTCCTACCAACTCCTACCGGGTCCTGAAAACACGGGACCCTGGACCCAGAATGCGGAACTCAGGTTGTTGTCCCTGTAGATCCCAAGCCAGACATCCCGGATGTATTTCTCTTGTTTAACTTCAGCCTTTTTGTGCAACAGCTCTGCCCGTACTTCCTTTATTCTGCCTTCAGATGACAAATCATTGCCCCCACCCCCCCGACACATAAAGTCTCCCTGAGCAGCAAGAGGGACAGACTGGGATGGGTCTCTGAGGGCTCACCCGCTCATCCACCACAGACCTTACACAAAACAGGATCCAAAAAAAACCATTGGAAGATTTGGTCTCTATGTCCCAGAACTTCTAATCAATTCGGTTGACTTCAACTGCCGTCAAAATTCTTAACTTTTATTCCATAGTATCGGTCCCTTTCCATCTCATGGGGAGAGCTAATAAAGTCAGGGTCACCAGGGGATTAATGGGATTACCCCACACAGATAAACAATTTACATTTTATCAGCTTTCCCTGTAGGTTTGTTCTTCGAAATGCAAACCAATTTATAAAATGCCCTTAGGCAAACATAATTAAGAAAAGTAAATCTTTGGGGGGAAATAACAAAAATGACACACCAATTGATATGCCAGTAATATACCCAATGAGTGAGGAAGAGAGATTGAGAATTTCATCCTTTGTAGGTTAGCTTCTGCACTCAAAGATGTGGGAAGAAGAAAACGAAATCGGTCCCCAAATTTATGCCATACCCGCGAAGTCAGAATTTTCACCGTTACAACTTTTCTTCTCTTTTCATACTGTTTACTGGTAATATACAGACAATCACCCACATAAGAAAGAAAAACACTTGTTAACCCTATGATTTTTTAAGTATATAAAATTGTGAAATGTTCCCTCTCTTCTTTCAATCCACCATATTTAAAATTGCAAGCTGCGCTTCTACCTCCCTTCTCTGCTTTATTTTCCCCCATAGTGTATATCACCATCTGAAACACTGGATATTTTATTTTATTTTTCTTACTATCTGTCTCCCTATGGAAGATGTAAATTGCATGAAGACAGGAATTTTGTCCATTTTATTTATTGCTGTATCCATGGTGCCTAAAACGGAACTTAGCATGTAGTAGTAGGTTCTCAATACACACTTGCTGAATGAATAAATAAGCCAACTGAAGGAAGGAATTTCACACTTCAGAAGAAATCACTGTTCACATTTTGGTTTCTGTCTTCCAGACTTTTTAATGTTTATGCAGATGTATATTTATATGCATGCATATATATGCACACGTGCATCCTTTTTAAGTTTTGCAGAAATGAGATCTTAACATACATATTGTTCTACAATGCGCTTTTTTCACTTGACATCTTTCAAGGAGAGTTCATAAGGAGTTACTCCATTCTTTATAATGGTGAAGTAGGATTCCATTAAGTGACTGTCTCCTTAATCATTCATTTTGTTTCCAAAGTTTCGGCATTACATACATGCTGCATTCATTGGATTCATTGGATAGGATCTTAGAAGTGACACTGCTGGGGGCGCCTGGGTGGCTCAGTGGGTTAAGGCCTCTGCCTTCAGTTCAGGTCATGATCCCAGGGTCCTGGGATCGAGCCCCACATCGAGCCCCACATCGAGCCCCACATCGAGCCCCACATCGGGCTCTCTGCTCCGCAGGGAGCCTGCTTCCTCCCCTCTCTCTCTCTCTGCCTGCCTCTCGGCCTACTTGTGATCTCTCTCTGTCAAATAAATAAAATCTTTAAAAAAAAAAAAAAAAGAAGTGACACTGCTCAGAGAGTTTACATTTTTTTACATTTTAATAGACATTGCCAAATTTCTCTCTAAAAATGGAATAATTTTAGCCCAACCAAGCCTTTCACCAACACCAAAAATGTCCAATGTGAAAGGCAATAAATAAGTAAATGGTGATGGTATCTAAATATTATTGTGACTGCGTTCTTTCACTGTTAATGAAGCTGAACTTTTCCCCCACGTGTTTATTAGCCATTTGAATTTCTTCTATTAATTATCAATTCACATTCTTATTCATTTTTCTACCAGATTGGTTGGGGATTTTATTGACTTGTAGATGGTCTTTGTATAGTATAGACATTAACCCTTTGGCTGTTTATTATGTGACAAATATCTCCTAGTCTGTGACTTATCTTTAACTTTGTAAATGTCATTTTTCATTTGGTAAATGTCATAGTGATAATAAAGCCAATAGCTAAATTTTACTGAGCATTTACAAAATGCCAGACACCATTCTAAGTGCTTTATATGGATTACCTCATTTAAATCTTCTATTACAAGGTAGGTACTACATTTATCCCCATTTTAAAAATTGAGACCTACAAAGGATAAGGAACTAGGCTGTAGTCTCCTGTGTTCTAAGTGACAGAGACTTGGAATACTAGAAGTGATTCTATAGAAGTTTTAAAAATTCAAGTAGTCAAACCTGTCCTTTAAAAAAACAACAGGGGCACCTGGGTGGCTCAGTGGGTTAAAACCTCTGCCTTTGGCTCGGGTCATGATCCCAGGGTCCTGGGATCGCGCTCTCTGCTCGGCAGGGAGCCTGCTTCCCTTCCTTTCTCTCTGTCTGCCTCTCTGCCTACTTGTGATCTCTGTCAAATAAATAAATAAAACCTTAAAAAAAATAAAAATAAAAAATATATTAAAAAAAATAAAAAAACAACAACAACAAAACTCCGAGTTTTGTTAGAGAGACCTTCTTTAACATAAGATTATTAAATGTTCCTCTATTTTTTCTGTAGTTTTATTTTTCACATTAAACCCTTCGATCTACCTGAAGGTGATTTTTACATGAGATAGAGAGTTCGTTTTCTTTCCTTCCAAATGGAAGGAAATAAATAAAATCTTTAAAAAAAAGAAATCTTAAAAAAAAAAGAGTCTCTGATTTTGTCTTGTTTTATTTTTCCTCTCTTCCCCAATGATCCTCTGTTTTATTTCTTAAATTCCACATAAGTGAGATCATATGATAATGGTCTTTCCCTTTGACTTATTTTGCTTAGCATAATACCCTCTAGTTCCATCCACATCATTGCAAATAGCAAGATTTCATTTTTTTGATGGCTGAGTAGTAGCAATGTCATCTTTATCATATACAGAATTTCCACGCATACATTGATCTACTGATTTTTTTAACTGATTTTTATTTTTAAACTTGTTTCTTATCACCTTGTTGGTTAGGATTTTCTACTCATACCATATCTGCAAATGAGCATTCCTTTGCTTTCTGATATATGTTTTAATTGCTCTGTGCATTTATTAGCTACTAATACAAACACCCTACACAGATTTGCAAGAGATACTGCAGGGGAAAACGTGACTTAGAAGGATTGACAGTATCGTAGGGTCTTGGTGGATGCACTCCTGGGGGGAGTGGACCCCTAATTTCTGGGGGAGAGGGTCTCATTCCTGGAGGGGGTCTTCCTATTGGCATCCTTTGAGCACAGGGAACCCAAGTGGTGGGGCTTGTGGGTGGTCATATGCCAAGTGGAGGGGCCACATGCCTGGGGGAGTGTTCTTCGGCCCTCAGAAGTGGGTGGGGTCCCCCATCTAGATGGGCATTGAGATGGGACTCCAGCACTGCTGGTAGGAGCAACAACGGCACAGCTGCTCTAGAACCTCTTCCCTGAGGCCCCCCCAACCCCTCAAACAGGGCCTGCTAATCCAACAGAAGCCTGGGGAATTGCAAAACCAGCCGGCACTCCTCTGCCAGCTGCCCTGCCAACCCCAGGGCCTCCTGCAGCTCCAACAAGTGGTACCCAAGCAATCCCAGCATCTTTGGGGGGCAGTCCTCCCACAGTCATAGAAACCAAGTTCTCCCCTTATAGCCCCACCTTGACCCCAAACCCACCTTTCTTCATGGTCTGGCTGCTTCAGATTCTTGGGCTTGATCTTCCTGAATTCA